CCTCTGGCCTGCTTGCGCTTTGCTCTTTACCTGTATTCAAAGGGTATTAAAAAAAATTAACAAGCCCTGACTACATAAAAGGAAGTTGCTGAATTTACAACCCAGCCTGCAGCTAGACCACCTTGCCTGCCGAGCAGGTTTGGACCAGGCCAAGTCTGCCATGGGAAACCCACTGCGGAGCGGCAGGCTGATAAGGGAGGCTGATGGGATGATAGGAGATAGGGCTCCAGCCCTGCTCTGCCGCTCCTGGGCTGCACTGCAGCCAAGCAGCCCGGCAATGCAGGCAGTGCCCTCCTGCAGCGGGACCCCGGGCTGGAGGCTCCCCATCGGCAGTCTGAATCTGTCAGCGTGGGTCCCAGCAGAGCAAAAATCGCACGTCAGATGCCGGATGGCATCCCTGGAGCCTGAAGCAAATTCAGCCGTGCTCGTTGCAAGCTCGTCTGCGATTTTGTAGAACTGCAGCACTTCTGCACCCTGAGCTGTGGCTGGGAGATGGAGGCCGCTGCACGTCCGCGGCAAAAGCAGCGGTCGCGGGTGCTCTCTCTTGGGGGATGCTCCCGTCCAGCACCGGCCTGTGGTTCAGCTTTGACTGTTACATGCCAAATTCATTTAAGGGACATCCACTGCGCAGTGGGCAAACGTAATTGAGAGGAGCAGAAAAGCAGTTTAAAGATAGGCACAGAAGCCTGCGGAGCCTGAAAGCAGGCAGGAAACCCATCTTAAGCGTGTTCCTTCCTTTGAGGCTGAAGCTGAATCCCACAATATGTTTTCTTCCCACTAATGCTTGCCTAGCTTCCTTTGGAAACAATTTAGTCTCTGCCCATGGTAGAATGTTTTTATCCATTAAGAAACGGATATTTTAAAGAAACCATAAGTCGATCTGGACAGGGATTAGGAAGCAGCAATTCAGTGTATTTGCTGGGCCCATAATTCAGGACTTAACCTCAGAGCAGCCACGTTGCATTTCAGAAACAATAGGGCACTTGCTGCCTATGCCAAGAGGCTTCTTAAAAGTAATGTAATACTTTAAAAATGTATATTTAAAAAGAAAAAGAGAGAGAGATTTTACTTTAAATGCATATGGTGAGGCATTCTGCTGATGACTGGCCTATGTTAAAAACATTGCACGGGCTTTAAGTAATGGATTGGAAATCAAGCTGGTTAAAGCTGAGCTGTTTCCAGCTCAGGAGATCTGAAAGCTCTTCACCAGCAAAGACAATGTCTCCCAAACTGTTCAGCAGACACTAAGGCTGGGAGAGGCAGGATGGAGTTTGCAAAAGGATCCAGCATTTACTGTTCTCCCTGTGAAGTCAAGGGAATTCGGTTTCACTGGAGCAATATGAAGAGGGTGCAAGGGGACTTAAGTGCATTAATCAAAACAGCTTGCTCTGTTACTGAGTAGATAAAATTTAAAATCACTTTGCAATTGTCCTTGTGTACACAAGGCCCCTACATGTTGCTGGACAATGCACACAATTGCTTTTGCGTGGTTGAAGATGTTTCTACCACAGAGCTAGAACACAGGAGCCGGCCGCGTGGGCGGTCCTCCTCTGTTGCAATGGGAATAAAATGGTTCAGCATGAACCACTGCTGAAACATGGGGAAGGGCAAAGTGTCGTGCGGAGAATTGGGGGCTGCTAGGACCATCCAGGTTCTCCCTGGGAGGACGTGTGTCTGTCACCATCCCACTTCCCCAGAGCAAGGGGGCCCCGAGAAGCAGCCGAAGGCGGGCAGAAGCAAGTTCCTTTAACATCTTGCTTCACTTTTGAGAGCTACTTGATTTTTTTTAAGCTAGAAGACAAAACTCGAAATGAAGCAAGCACGCAAGCCTCTGGCTTCGCGTGCCCCATAATAAGGAACCATTTCAAGCCATCCTAATGACAGCTTGGTGTCTCGCTGCGGAGGCAGGAGAGCCGGGATTTCAAAACCTCAGATTTTCCAGACCTCACTGGAGAAGTATTGGGCCAAATCCTCAACTGAGGCAAACGGCTCTGCTGAAGCCAGGGAAGCAGCACTGGCTGATGCTAGATGAGGGTCTGCCTGTCCTACCTGCCTGGCTACTGGGCCAGATTCTCATCACAGCTACACTGAGGTGAACCCAGAATTACCCTATTTCCGCCCCAAAGCAGTGGAAATGGGAATGAAATCTGGTGTGTGGAGGGCTGCAAAAGTCTGTCCCGTTTGCAGACAGGCACGGGAAAAGATTGATTCTCTGCCCATCTGGACAGGGTAAGGCAAGACTGAAGCCACTGAAATACACTGACACTGGGCAGTGGGAAACCAGCACGAGAGCAGGATCTGACCAGCTCGGCCACGGTGCTGAGCACACTCTCCTCCCATGTTTCCTGGCATGCCCTTCAGAAACAATCGGTTTTCTCTTACCGGGAGGTTTTTGGTTTGAAACCATTTAACCTCAGCATGATCGTTTTACATGGGGGCTATTTATAACCTCCAGGGGCTGCTTTACTGAAAGTCTTCTGCAAATGGCTGAGGGCCAGATTCTTCTCCCATTTACAGCAGCGTCCTTGCCGTGATCTCCACTGTGGCCACAGCCTTTGCTGCCCGGGAGGAAAGATTGGACTGGGCCAGAGCAAACACACCTCCAAAGGACCTCAATTCCTCCCAAACATCAACGCCTGTCTGCTTCAAAGCCCAAACTCCACGTGCTGTCTGAACACAGGATTTGAGGTGCCTGAATCCCCCCTCGGTGGCCGAGGCTGTTTCTGAGCATCTCAGCTCCCCAGCCTGGTTTTGCCAGAAGCAGATTAGGAAGCTTCGCGCAAACTGCTCGGTCAGCAGAACCGGGAGGCCAACCGCCTCCGGCACACGGGCGGAGGGCTGCCGGGCATAGGCGATCGTGGAGGGAAAACCTGTCTCTCTGCCTCTCGCTGGCCCCCTTTTAATCCCTGCACAGGGATGCAAGGATGCTAAAAACACTGAGGTCAGGAAGGACCCAGGTGAAGGATAGCGGGGGCCAGATGAACTCCAGCCTGCCCCGTTTTGTCCCTCCTAACCGATATCTCGTTATGCTTTTTGCTAATCGGCTTCTCGTGTGTGTTACCTAAGAACGTGCCAAGTCGTGAGAATTACAGGCCTGTTAACTCCTGTGTTATTCTTGGCGCGGGCCAGGCTCCACTTGCTTGGTAAAAATTATGATCTTTGTGAATAAGCCGTGTGTGTGTGAGAGAAAGAGGTTATTTTTTTAATTACTATTATGATCGGTTATAGTCAGCGTTGTGTCAAAAGGACAGGGCTGAGATTAAAATTACTGAGCTGATTCTGCTCCCGGTTACGCTGGTAAGAACCCACAGTAATTTTAAGACAGTTCCTCCAACTTGGGAACAAGGGAGCCAAGAGCAGAGCGTGCACGAACTGCCTTTTGCAGCATTCCTGGTACTTTGGATTCACTCCGCAGGAATGATTTTAGATGGCTAATTTTGTGTGTCTCCACTCCTGCTGTCACTTGACATTTGGGAATTTGGCACAGACGGTAGCTTGTGGCCGGTTTCATTTTTTTCTTGTTGAATTTGTG